ACACCCACGTCCGTGTTTACTCCATGCCGTTCTTCCTGCTGCTTTTACGGCTTCCTGTAAGCCTGTTCCAGAGGCTACGTTTAAATTTGTTGTGACACTTGAAGAAATCCCTTTCTCTCTAAACATGACTCTCCTCATGAAAAACGCAGCCTTTAATCGGGGGTGGGCGAGGGCAGCGCAGCCCCCAGAGCTGGGACGGGAGAGGTGGGTGGTCTCCGACTCGCGTCTGCGGGAGAGGGCGGTGGGGTTTCTGGGGACCCCGTGGTGGCGGAAACTCCTGAGGTTTCTGAAGACGTGGGAAGCGGTTCCCACGCGACGCTGAAGCCCACGCAGGACCCCACTCTGCGCCCTAGTGTTGGACCAGGGCTCGGCTCACTTCTTGGAAAGGGCCGTTCGTTAAAAGCACATTAGCGCCCTCCCTCCAGCGGCCCAATCCGTTCAGCGCGCCTCGGTGACGGCACCCGGGAGTGTCTTCACAGTTAGGAAAGGTAGCTCACTCTGTCCCGGGGTTACCATGGGTCAGGGGCAAGGGAGGGAGATCATGGGCTTGCTCGCCTGGCCCCCGCAGGTGAGCCAGAAGTCACCTGGCCTTTCCGCTCGGCTCCGAGAGCCCAGACCTGCCCAGCGCACTTGGGGCCAATCTGATTGTTTTCTCTCCCGGAATTGGTTTTGCTGCGTGGAACCCGATGAATCGCCTGGTGGTCCTGTCCCCGGGGGACACTGTCTAATCCACTTAGAGGGAGGCGCGTGGCAGGCTCTGGGGCTCACTCACGAAGCCCCAGCTGTTGGGATCGTCTCTGGGTGACTTTTTGTGGGGCGGGGACGACAACGCCTTCAGCCCCTCCGCTGTCATCCACGTGGCCTGCACCGCCCTGGCCAGGCCACCTCACCTGGCCGCCGACTCCCCCGCTGACCTCGTCAGCGGGTTCTCCGCCTCCACCCCTCTCCCCCAGAGTTGGTCTCTGGGGAGTGGTAGCCTGCCCCTTTACGAGGGGTGGGACCCAGCTGAAAATGCCGGTGCCTGCGCAACGACTAAGACCTGCACCCCTTCCGGTCCCCGGCCTGCCCCCTGCAAGGTCTGAGCCCCCGTGGGTTTCCCCGCCGTCCTGTGACCTCGGCCCTGCTCAGCACCCTCCTCCCACGATGGCTTCACAGGCTCCGTCCTCCCCACCCCAGGGCCTTTGCACCTGTTCCTCCTCCGTCTGGAACAGCCTCTGTGGGCGAGGCCCTCCGCGGTCATGTGAGCCAGTCACCCCCCACCGCTCGCTGTGATGTGGTGTTACTCTCTGTGTTCCCCTCTGATCACTACTCTCTCTTCCCCGTTTATGGCCATTGTCCCCGCCATCGCCTCCTGCTTACTGTTACCCTCTGATAAGTTCCTTTCCTGCACGGCCCCTGTCTCACCCCAACTGATCTCGTGTACACCGTCTGTTTGTCTTTGTTTCTCTCCCCGTCGGGACACAGCCGCTGAGGGCCCTCGGGACACAGCCGTCTGGTTCTCCGGTGCCTCGGGGCCGGGCACGGTGGCCGTGCACGGAGGGGCCCCGGGCTGTGCCTGTTGCGCCGATGGCCTGGTTCTGCGTCACCAGACAACCCCAAGACCCAGGTGCTCAGGTGAAGGTTGTATCAAAGGGGAAACCATGGCTTCTGTTCCCAAACCGTTGCACTTTTCTGTAATGTTTCAAAGCGGATTTGCTCAGGTCAGTGTGCTTGGTAATCCAGTAACCTGCCCGCTGAGATAGAAGAGGTAGGTTTGTCCTTGTGGTTCAAGATGGAGGACGGAACACATGCATTTACCTCCAGGTGCCGCTAGAAACCTAGGGCGACTTAGCACAGAAGCGTGTCTGGGTTGCTCCGGCCCCAGGGGCAGAACGACAGAGGAAGTGACTCTGCAGCCGTGGGGACCGGAGCGCAGCGGCGGCCGGGAGCCACCGATTCAGCGGATGCCAGAGAGTGTAGTCCTGGTTCAACAATGGGCAAAACCCTGAAAACTCGAGGAACACGGGGGGCCGGGGGGGGCCGAGCACGGACAGACTGGACGGAAGGCTGAGCAGCGGTCAGACCTCCTGAACCATCCCTGCTTCTCGGGGCCCGGGCCCTTCCCTCCACCCCTCCCTGCCTCCTGGCCGCATGCCGGGGGCTTGGCCTCTGGAATGGGTGCAAGACCCCACGGACACTGGGCACAGTTACTTCAGCCGGGAGCGAGGGGGCGCCACTGAAAACACAGGGTTTAACCAAACGGCTGACACTGCGTGTTGAGCCCCCGCCTCTCGCCCCCAGGTCAAGGCCGGAGTGCTGGCAGCCGGATGCGTCCCCCCGGGCAGCGGGCTGCAGGGGCCTCGAGGGGAAGCCACCGGCCTGTGTGGGGACCTACAGAGAATGAATGGCTCCAGGGCTCGCCACTGCGGCAGGGACACGGGAGAACCCGGCAGGTGGCCGGCAGCTGACAAATCGCACTTGTGAAGAGCTGCCCGCCGGCATTTCTGCGCCCGTTTCTTAAACACGGGTGGGCGGTTAAGGCTGCCGGCTGCCTCAGGGAAAGCTTTAATATGAAAGAAGCAAAAGAAACGGAAACGAAGGAACTCGGCAGGAAGGGAGACTCTGTGGGGAGAGCAAACTTTAGCAATAACAACACATTATTGTTGGTGATATTAACAGAGATATGAGAGAAGGTGATGGAGCCATGCAATAAGAGCAGGATTGTTATAACAATGGAATAACCACGACAATAATGATTAATAATGGCAGTGGGCACTGAGGCATGCAAACCATGATGGCAGAAATAGACACATAAGAGTTGGAATAGAAAATTGAAAGAATTCTTCCAACAATAAAATTAAAAAAATAAATAAAGAAATAGAAAATAGAAGAGACAAGATACGAAAAGTAGAGTATTAGACCAGGCAGGCCAATAACCTCGCAGGGAGAGTGAGGAGACAAACCATAAAGTGGGGGGGGGGGGTGGTAAATCAAACAAACAGCAGAGTGTCCTAAGACTGAAGGACGTGGTTCAGATCAAAGGCGGCCCCGCGTGCCCAGACAGCGGAGGAAAATGGATCAGGGCCGCGGTGACAAGGACACAGTGAAGAGCCTGGGGATTTGCAGAGAGAGAGAGAGAGAGAGCGAGAGAGAGAGCAGCGCCAAGAGGAACCGTCCGAAGGCTCGTGAATCACAGTCGCGTTGGCTCCAGACTTCCCAGCGGCTGGAGCGGGGGCGGGGGGGCCCCGGGTGCTGCTCTGAAGGGAAACAAATCCCAGCTCTGAGTGCCCCACTCGGGCCAGCAGCCCGTTCGGGTCCCAGCCGTTTCAGTTCACGCTCCCTCTCTCGTGAAGCCGCCAGGAGTCTCGCGTTAGGAAAGGGGGAGAGAAACCGAAGGAACCCGGAGGGCTGGGGGACCAAGGACCGGGGTGGCAGGGGGGGTGTGCGCCCGAGGGCCGCAGCCCGGGGAGCGGGTCAGACGGTTCCGAGTGGTGGTCAGCAGGCTGCTGCGGCCGGGGTGCCCTGAGGGACAGGGGTGCAGGAGGGACAGGAGGGCGCAGGGGTATGTGGGGTGACGGAAGGAGACTTCACTGGGGGTGGTGAGCACACGGTGCGGTGCGGACAGATGCTGTCCTGTATATGGACTTGTTCACCCAAACCCTGTACGATTTTATTAACCATTGTCACCCCAGTCGGCTCCGTAATTTTTATCTGTAAAAAGTAGAAAGTTTCACGAGAGATCTAAGAAAATGAAACGAAACCTTAGACCACGGGATAGGAGGCTGGAGGTTGATTTCAGTGATAACCTCATAGAAAACGACGCAAAAGAAGAAAAGCAAAGGAACGCCGAACTGCGGGGGGGAAGACCGTGCGGGCAGGAAGGGCAGTGTCCTCGCGGTGCGCCGTGCGGCTCGGTCGTGGCCAGCACGGTCCTGGACACACTGACGCACACGCGGAATGTCCCCTGAAGGTCACGACCTTGTTCACGTGACTGCTGAGAGCAGAGAGGGCCGGACAGAGTGCCAGGGCTGTGGACAAGGGGCACCAGGGCTGTGGACAAGGGGCGCTCCCCCTAAGCCTTCCCCTCCCCCCCAGAAGCCCCAGGCTAGCGTCCAAGCTGGAAAAAACAAAACAAAACAAACAAACAAACAAGAAGAAACCGCCCAAACCCCAGGGACACCCAGAAGCAGCGCTGGGTGAGCGCTCCCGGGGGTGGAGGAGATGCGCCCGGAGAGAATCCAGGGTGGGAAACAGGGCGTGGGCGGGCAGGTGTCGCCGTTTGTCTTGATAAGTAGAAAGGGTTGACTTTTAAAAAGTCCTCGCGTGTGTCACTGGAATCAAACTAAAAGCAACTTTAGAAGGAGGCCTAATGCGTTTGTTTCTCCTGCGACACAGCCATTCTGGGAGCTTTTCCCGATCTTCCCTCAGGCTGTCCTCTGCCCTCGGGGAGATCTCTGGGCGGCCTCCGGCCTGCATGCGCCGGGGAGGGGCTGCTGTGTGGGTGCTGTTATGGTCGCGCCTTTGTCTCCCCTGCTCCCCTTGAACCCCCGACAGCAAACCACCACCACCACAAACGGCAGAGGCACAGAGCCAGGCTCACCTGGTGCTTGCTGCCCAGGGCTCTGGTGATGTCATCGTGACATGGGGGAAGCCTCTGTATCCACCTCCGGCCTGAGTGGCCGGAGAATCCAGGCCGGTCTCAAACTCGCACACGTGGCCAGGAGCGTGGCTCTGACGAGACAGGGCTGCAGGAGAGATTTTTAAAAATATAAGGAGTTGAGGGATTTTTCTGTCTTTGGGAGCTGGTTTTGCCACGTCTTCCCTGGTCTTAGCAAAAGGGAGACCTCGTATTTGACCGCACAGGACAGAGTTCAATGTAAATTGATTTCCTGGGCACGCCTCGTGCGACCAGAGCGCGCGATCTCGGGGCTGGCCGTGAAGACACAGGTAAACCCCCAGGACATCCCCATTTGCTGATTTGATCATTTCAGGTGTGTCTCAATGTGCCTCCCCACCTGCAGGGCTAAGTCTGCAAGAGGAGCCATCTCCTGTCTCCTCAGCGTCGCCTGCTGGCTGCGGGACGGGAGAGACAGAGGAGGAAGACCGCGGACCGACTGCAGGTGGCGTCCCTCCCAGCGCCAGCCCGACGGCCGGGGACCCGCTAGCGGCGCAGGTGGGCGTTGGGGTGTGGGGCCGTCTCGGCCCGTCTGTCCTCTGGGTCCTGGCTCTGGGGTCCTCGTCGGTGGTGTTCCGTGGGCTCGGGACCGGTCGGGAAGCCGAGGGGTTTGCTTGCTCACGGGCCGGCTGAGAACACCTGGCGATCTCGTGTCGTTGATGGGGAGCGAGGCTCGCCTTCACGCCCCCCAGTCAGTCGTCAGCGGGAGCGGACGGAGACCGCGAGATGGAGGTGCACGCTTGGGAGAGAGCCGATCAGAGCCCCAGACCTTGCTTGCATGGAGGACCATGTTTTCGACCCCGAGTTTTTTGCACCAATTAACCTCCCCCCGCCCCATAGGTTTTCCTTTGCATTTTGTTACAGGACGTGACTCTGTCCGCCGGCGAGCATGGTGACTGTTGTCCTCGGAACACTTCGGTCGGCTCGGGGCTGCCGCTGCCGCCTGACTCCTACACACCAGCGGCCAGGAACAGCCTTCCGTCCCACGGGAAAGGTCTCGACCTGGGATTTCTGGAGACTCAGCAGCCGCCCCCCCAGGAGCAAGTCCCGGCAGACCTCAAAGTGTGCGTTGTCCCAGATGCTGAGGATCCTTCATCATTTGAGTCTGAAGGGAACTCCCTCCGCCGAGACGCTGCCACCTCTGTGGCCGCCGTCTGTCCTTCTCTGGGGGCGCGAGGAGGTCATGCAGCCGTGGGAGGTCACGGTGCAGAGCCACGGGAGCGTGACCGAGCTGCGGGGGGGACAGCGGCACGCAGCTCCGCAGACAGAAAAGCTGCAGCACAGGGCACGGCGCTGTCACTCCTGCCGGGGAAACCCTCCCCGGGGCAAGGACTCTCAGGTTCGGTCCCATCGCGGCCCCCTGGGAAAACTCGCCTTGAACTACCGGCTTCGGGACCGGGCTCCCAGCAAGACGCGGAGACACCCAAGATGCTTTTTCCTTCCGGGGGGCCCCCTGGGGGTGGGGAAATGCGTGTCCCCGGCCCTCCCGTGGGCAAGGACAGTGAGACGCACCGAGAGTCTGGGTTTGTGGCTCCGAAGGGTCGTGTGGTTCCTTCTAAGCCGGGGCCGGCCACAGAAGCCCCTCAGGCCCCTTCGAAGACAGCCAGGAAAAGGAGTCTGGAGGGAGTGAGGAGGCAGAGCCGAGTGGAGCTCAGCGACACCAGCAGCGACGACGAGGACCGGCTGGTGATTGAGATCTGAAGCTCCCGGGGACGGCCGTCGCCCCCCGGCGAACGCCGAGAGGCTGGCAGGACACCCGGCCCCTTGCCGCGAGGCACCTAGAGGTTGGAACGCCGTTTTGGGCTCTTTCCGAGACATCCCCGAGCAGCTTCAACCCCCTGACACAGCCGCGCCTTGCCCCAGCTCCGCCGGGCGTGTCCCACGGGTATCCGCGGCAGGGCAGAGGTGACCCGGAGCAAAGTCGAAGAATGCTCGACGCACAGTGACTGTGGCTGGACCCCCAGCGGTGTCCTTTGGCTCCGTCCACCACGGCCTCCTCCGGGAAGTGGTTTTGACCCCGAGAGCCGTGACCGACCCGTCCATCAACACCTGGACCCGATGGAGTCCAGGCAACTGACCTCCTTGTTGGTGGATGAGGGTGGGCGTCCATGGCTTAGCTGGGAGGTGGGGCATGAATGGGGCACCAAGTCACCGCGGCTCACACCGGAGACGAAACTCAGATTCATTCCAAAACTGAAGTTTGGTCGGAATGATCTCCCTCCTCCACGGGAGCTGTAAATACGCGTCCGAACGCGTGTGACCTGGTGGCACGCTGGGGACACCTCCGCGCCGCGCCAGCGGCCGGTGCTCCCGTGAGACTCGGGGACACGGGCCGGCCCGTCCCGCGCTCGGCGCCTCTTTGGTGGAGACCGCCGGAGCCCTCGGTTTCTCCAGCCCTCGCAAAGGAACACTGTGTTAAAAGTTAATAGAACAGTCTCTGTAATGAGTCATTTTTTTTCTGAGGGGGAAAAAATTCACTGATTTTCCTCTGATGCTCTTTGTCATATTGTGCTCTGAGCAATTTCAATTAGAGGGTTACATTTTAGTAATCGCTGCGGCTTACGCGGATGCCTGCGCATCGTGATGGGGGCCTTTCGGTGTCCTCCCGCGGCTTCAAGGATACAAAACTAATTGGAGTTTTGACGCTGTTTTACATCTCGGTAATTTTATTTTGGGGGCTTGGTGTTACTTTGCTGTCAAATTAAATCAGCCTTTGTATTGTGCAAGTCAGAACAGCACACACACACACACACACACACACGCACACACACACAAATCCCCCAGCATTCCCAGTCGGTGCACCCCTGTGCAGAACAGAACAGCTGCTCTGCACCCGCCAGCCCAGTGTGCAAAGCCGCGGGTGTCCTGCCTGCTTCTCCTTCCCCTTAGACGGCAGGGGAAGAACTCGCGGAGGCTGGCGCTGCTGCGTTTCAATAGCACGTGACACTTGGTTTGGGTACGGTTTTGTACGCTCTGAAACATAGAGCTGAGCTCTTTGGGCTTCCCTTTGATGGAAGCATGGTCCGGCGACAGCCTGTATTCCAAAGGCAGGGGTGCAAAATATCTCACACCTACGATCACACTTCAGTGTGTCTTTGCCTGTGACAGAGGACAGTCACTTTTCATGTGACTTCATGTGAGTTTTCTAGTTTTAGGGTGATTGATGGAACCCGTGAATGAGGGACCAGCTAGCCTCCCCGAGGACTCAGATTGGGTCTGTGGTCATTTTGCAGGAGCTCATAAATGCCCCAGTGGTTTCCAGCCCAGCCAAGAAATACAGGAGAAGGGAGGTAAGAAGAATGTTAGGTATTTACTTCCTGTGCTTTTTGAATCAAACAAAAGTGTTGCGGTGATTACCGACCCTCTGAATGAACCCTGCTACCTTGATGGGAGTGGCTGTCTAGGGAAGTGGTCCGAGTCCTGGTCAGAGGAAGAGTCAAGGCCTGACCTTGCCCTCAACCCGCTGGGAAATCTTGGTTAAGGTGCATACCCTGTCTGTGCCTCAGTTTCTCCAACTGAGCATGTGAGCTGAGTGTGTGGGCAGGCTCCCACCCTTGTGAGGAAGCACATGCTGCCGTCTTCCTGACGTAGGAGGCCTTGGTGGCTTGGGGGTGGTCCCCATGGGGAGAGATCTTGCACCCAAGGAGTTTGGGAGGGGACCCGAAACCAAAACACCTTCTGCCAATTATTCCCATGAAGAACTTGAGCTCAGAGGTGCTGTCCCTATTTCTTCCCAGAGTTCCAGATTTGGGGGTATAGTCGTTCAGTTTATGGATGCTGGTTCATAATTCAGAAATTTAAAAAAAAAGACCCAGAACACTACTATGCGAGTGGAAGACAATACGTCCATAGGCTGCACTTGCCACCTTGTCTCGGGAGGCACTGATGGGGGGAGAACCACCCTCCAGATTCTGTCCTCCTCCAAGCGGTCAACTGGTCTACCGGAACTAAGTCAGCAAGTCATCGCCCCATTGGCACTGGCCCCAGCACGGTGGCGGGAGCTCTGTCCTTCTAGGAGCGACCACTTTGGGCTGCCACGCCCCAACTTTGATTAAATATGGTGGAAAGTCGAGTTCATCTCTCACTCCCTGTATCTCTCACAAGGCGGGCACGCCGTCCTGTCTTAGCCGGTCATTTAGCCAGTGACTGACATAAAGCAAAGTGTACCTTACTTTACATCAACATGAATCGGCGCAAAGCTATATGGCTTTAAAAATAAACAAAAAAATGTATCTTGAATGACCCTAGAGGAGCTGGCTATTGGAAATCATCCTAAGGTAAAGGATTTTTATTATTTTTTAAGCGATGAAGCCTTTTATAAAGCAACAAACGGCCTCTGATTTTTATAACTCTTAATGTCCTATGGGTTTTCTTAAAGCAGAAAGCAATCCTAGGGATACATTTTAAGAATAACATCAGTGACATATAGCCCAGTTTGGGTTACTGAAAATAAAACTTCAACATTATCAGGTAATAATTGCTACAGTTTTATATGCTATAAGCATGTGCTGTGTGCCAGTTAAAGGAAAACAAATCTAGTTTAGAACAAGGCCAATCAGAGTTGAAAGATCAAGGCCCCTCCTCTCCCCAGTGGGGTTGATTTTATTACACCTTCAGGTAAGGGTCTTAACCCTGGTGCCTCAGTTTCTCTACAGAGAAGAAATCCAGGGGTGCTGCCATGAACCCAGACAAGGGTCACTTTGAAATCTGGGTGATTTGGGGGGCAAAGTAGACAAGTACACTCTGTCCCAAGATGCTCAAACTCACTGCCAGGTTTATTTTCTCCCGCTGTGCCTGCACTTGGCCAGATCTCACTTGTTAGAGAGAGGTGCGTGGAGGAAAGAGGTCTCACGTCTGCCCTCGGGTGGGGAGGTCTCTGAAAGTCACATGGCTTTTGATGGACAGCTTGAATCCTCCTTGTCAGAAGGCCTGATGAAGTGCAATTCATCCATCCTGTTAGGTGTAAGAACCCTTGAGATTCTGCATGAAGCGAACATCCCTTTAATTCATGACCCGGCAGAACCTGTGGTTCATTTCCCCAAAAGTAAAAACAAAGAGGGGGTGGGGCGAGCACCGCTGGATTCTAATCAAAACCTTGCCCATGGTATGGCGGGTATCCGAGAGCGAAGTGAGCGCTGCCTTTCGGAAGTCTCTCCTCCAGGGCTCCCATGGGAGGAGTTGCCTTGCCACAATGTGTGGCAACCCCCGTTCTCGGCCCGCAAGGGGAATGGTGGGCAGCCTCAGGCCATGGAGTTTTTCCTTGACTTTCTGTGTGTGACTGAGAATAATCCCATTCTTTTATTTTTTTCCCCCCTAGCATCGATATTTGCCTTTTGCACAAAGTTTTCCTGCTGCAGCAGATTTGTATAGTTAGGGAGACTGTCACGACCATCAGCCGCTGCAGCTGCTCACCTCCCCAGACGGGATTTAGCATGGTGAGGCAGAGACGGCTGCCCCGCCCCGGCGAGCTCGCCCCCGCCCCGCCCTAGCGATCTCGCCCCCGCCACGGCGGCGGCAAGGGGGGCGAATGTGTTCTCGCTCTCTCTGGCTGTGATCCCCACCACTCCTGTGAGGGAGCCTCTTTGGCTTTGGAAACACTACATCTCTCTACACTCAAGCACAATTCCTCGTCCTGATCTTGCAGAACTCATTCAACAGAGGCGTTAGGACCCAGCAAAGCTTGTGGGCTAGGTTTGTTCCCTGCACCAGTGTCTGTACCCGTGCGTTTTACCCATGCGGGGGTAGGTGGGATTGGACCTGAGGACGTACGGGGGCACTCACTGGAGCGTGGCGCTTCGCCGCGGGGAGGGAAGGAGCCGGGGAGACCGTCGGGCTCTGTCCCTCGCGGCCCCGGAGGGTGACTCACATCCTGTGTGTGCACCCAGCTGCTCAGAACTTGCTACTTTATTGATTATTCATAATCAGGGAAGTGGTTGGCTTCTTGATTGTTTGTTGAAACTTCCCTCCTTCTTTCTATGGTTAAATTATTTTGTTTTGATAAAAATAAAACTGAAAATGAGCATGTCTGGTGTGATTTGTCACCGTTTTAGCCAGACACCCACAAGCAATATCCTGTATGAGCTGGATGTCTGATTAGTCCCGAGTATTCGACGGCCCGTCCGCCGTGTTGGTAGCCCATTCCGCTCAACAGAAGGATGAGGCGGTGGCGAAGGGCCACGTTGCCTTGTGCTGTTTCCTTTTCCTGCGTGTCTCACTTATCACTGTCTGCCATAGTTTAGAGTTCATTACTTGGAAATGTAGCTAAATGTGGAAGCCACAGGAGGGCTCTATCCTCAGAGCAATAATCCCAAACTTTCCCCCTTAGAGTTGAGGTTTCCTGGATATTTAACGTTATTCATTGACAGAGAAGACATCCTTAATTTAACACAATATTTCCTTATGAAGATAACTCATGTGCTCTTTGTAAGGGTAAGTGTACCTATTTTATACACCTGCACAATATTCTTCTTCTCCATCTATACGTCTTGAAGGCACTTGACGTCAATGGAGACAATACCTTTGGCGGGGCGGGGGGGACTGGGAGTGGGACATGGAAGGAACAACTGTACTAATTGATGGATCTTAATAGCATTTTTGCTAACACATCGAACTCTAATAGTGATCAATTAATCCATCATTTCCAAACTTCAGCCATTTAAGAACCATTGTCATGCTTTTCATCATCTGTGTCCACATGGGGGCATATTATTTGCTTAATACTTTTATTTAAATCATCTCTGTCTTTTTTTAAAAAAGATTTTATTTATTTACTTTAGTGAGAGGAGAAGAAAGGGAAAGAAGGAAAGACACATCAATGTGTGAGAAATACACTGATCGGTTGCCTCTCACACGCCCCCAACTGGGGACCTGGCCTGCAACCCAGGCATGTGCCCTGACCGGGAATCGAACCGGTGATCTTTCCGTTCTCAGGCCAGCACTCAACCCATTGAGCCACACCAGCCAGGGCAAAATCATCTCTGCACTAACAAAGCTATTATTGCCCTAAGTAATAATATCTGTGAAATATCAGCCTTAATTTAGTAGTTATGTATATGCATTCATAGAAAAAAATTCTTAAGAATTGTTCATACATGTACCAGTCAAACACCGTCTTTATAAACACTACCGTAGTGCACCCCCACAACCGGGGGGGACACCGAGAGACTCTGAAAGGCACCCACCTTGTTAGTTTGCCCGGTTATTCGACGTCCCGTTCGGCACAGCTGTCTCCTCATTTCTCCTCCGAAGCAACAGAACTGACGACTGCAAGTAGTGGTGTAAGTTTATTAAGTTCTTTCGGCCAAACCCCACAGTTGAGTTAATAACATTCCTAGTCAAATAATTATTGCATGTTTTAGTCTCAGAGGAGTAATCAGAATGTCTTATTGCATAAATATCTACACTTCGTGTTTTGGAGTTTTGTTGGCTGCTCGTTGAGTACAAAGCGACACCCAGGAAAGCACCACGAGGAAATCCCAATCAGCCACAAGCAGCGCCATCAATGCCACCGCGGGGCCAGCTTCCATGCTTTTGAATTGAAAGCAAAGGCATCTGGCTGTACTGACAACCACGAAGAACAACTTCCCAGCCTCCTGCCTGGTGACACCCCATCGGCCCTTGGCCCGGGAACAGAGGAGGACGCGCTCTGTGGTGCAAGACCTCCGTCTCCAGCTGTGGCCAACATCTGCTTTCGGTCTCCGTCCGCTCCTGCCAGAGGCAACACCCTCACGGCTTCTGCCCGGAACCCGGTGGCTCGTTTCGCACGGATGCACGGGAGAAGGGGTTCCCGGAGGGAAGGGGTGGTTTTCTCTGTGCAGCACCGGGGGCACAGAGCCCCTGCCCCGCCTCCGGGCACCCCGCAGGTCTGGCCGTCTCCCGTGTGGGCGCTGTGTGAGGTGGGCGGGCTGCAGGGCAGCAGAAATGAGGCCCCACGGTTCTACGGGAAACAGAGGGCCCAACGGCCAGGCTTGTTTTTTCCATAGAGCAGTGTTGCGGTTTCAGACATGTTTACTCTAAGGCCCACTCGTTCCCCCGCACTCGCGCACACGTGCACCCAGGCCCTCCCCAAAACGTTCTCCTCTTGTTAAAATAGGGAACTGGGTAGAGTGGGCCAGGGATCTAGGGAATGAGGCAGCCACCTACAGGACCCGGGAGGGATGTCCTTGGAGGCGGGGCCCACGGCGTCCCCGACTCGGCGTTCCAGGCCCCTGGAACCGTGCATGGCCCGCAGCAGGTGTGAGTGCAAGTTCGCTAAATAGACACGTGGCAATGGCCCCTGGGGGGTCATGGAGAGGAAAGGACGAATCTAAAAGGGGAACCTGGCCCAACCCGTTTCCTCATGAGGGCCTGCTTCATCAGCAGAGACGAGCAGAGACATCCAGAGAACTTTCCGTTCACCAACTTCAGAATTTGGCAACGATTTTCCTTGTTTGCCATCCATCCGTTCAGCCAATATTTACCGAATGCTCCAGTGCGCTGCAGGCACATGAAGACAGGGGAGCAAAGAGGGATCGACAGGGTGCCCAGGGCTTTTATCTGGAGCGAGGGGGTGTCGATTCTCGAACCCACCGGGCAAACAAACATGGGAAGACCGTAGTGTCAGGGAGTGCCAAGGGCCAAGAAAGCCGAGGGGGTGTTAGAAAGATTCTTCAATTCAAAATATTGAATGAAAATAAACATTAAAAAAAAAACTGGTGCCAGTAGAGAAGGCAAAATCATCGTATAGATTAAGATCCATCTCCTCCGCGACATGCAGCAGCGTGAGTCTCCTGGCGTGTGGGTGGGGAGAGCGTCCGCAAGCACACCCTCCGCCCGAGCCCAGTAACTTGGGGTCCCCCTGCCCTGGGGGGCCAATCTCCAGGCACCCCAGCACGTAGGGAACGAGTGTGTCTTGGAGCCCACAGCAGCCAGGGAACCCAGGTGGGTCCTGTTTCAGATCTAACTTTCTCAAGATAAACCATCAAATATGGATGCCCTGATGCTTTCGACCCTGAGTCCCCTTTCTCAGGACAGAGAACTGAGCTCACCCTTGAAGTCCACAGTTCTCACCAGGGGCTGGTTTGACCTCGTGGGAGCCCTTGGACAAGGCCTGCAGACAGTTTTGACTTTACAGCTTGGGCGAGGGGTGTTACGGGGGGTAGAGGCCAGGCATGCCTCCCACAGTGCCCAGGACGGCCCCCACAAAGCAGCGTCCAGTCCACCATGCCACAGTGCCGGCTGGGGCTGAGACGGGGGAATAAGGAGACGAGGTTACCGCCTGTTAGACCTTAGAACAGCTCAGTCCTCCTTCTGACGATGGGGCCGGAGGGGGAGAAAGACCAGCGGGGGCAGGAAGAGAAGGGGAGTCCAGGCTCAACACCCCAGGACTCTCTGCACAACGTGACATCTGACCTCCGCAGCGGGGCGTGCCTCTGGAGTCTACACGCCGTGGACCGTCTGTGGGACGTGGTTCAGTGCACCCCGAGCCTCCCTCTTCCCACTCTTTAATAATCCACCTCGAAAAGGAAGAGCTGGGGCACGAGAAGGTAAGTTGATGTGAACAGGTGCACGAAGATCCAGCAGGCATTCGGGACATATTTATAGATCCGAAGATCAGATTTTGCTGCGAGGGGAAACACCACCCCCGCCCTCACGCCAGCTCCTTGACGTCCAGAGCCGAGTGGAACGAATGAGATAAACAAGGGTCCGGGGCACCGGGAGCTTCCAGGTCTGACCGGGATGGTCCCGCGTGTTGGTCCACGCTGGCTATTTTTAAAGGGGAACCTGAGAACCGGAGGATTTTGTCCTGGCTCGAGTCAGGACACAGCTGTGACTGAGGTCCGGGGTTTTAGCCCTCAAGTCCCACATTCTTGCCCTGACATGACCACGTTCTGTCTCCACAAGTTTCCATTGTTTTCCTTTTCTTGCAAAGAGTGTTAAAAAAACACAAAACCCCAATGCATTGTATAAAAATTTTCCTCATCGGGGTTTGAAGAAGACCAATGGGTTTCTGGTTAACTGGAAACGACCCAGAAAATAAAATTATCCAGGCTATCCCCCTTCCCCAAGTTTTCCACTTAATCAAGGTTTGGTTGCGTTTGCTTTGCACAAAGGAGACGTCTCTCCCGAGACGTTTAGACTCAAATAGCTGTGAGCAGTGCCTATGTGGTCTCATAATTGATGCACTTGGGTTGCTGTTTCGTGGGCAACTTGGCGGGGAGCACAGGCGTAGACAAAGGAGATGCTAACAGCAAAAAGACATCACCAGAAAGCCTCTGGAAGACAAACACTTCCCATCTTCAATGATGAGACAACCTGATGCAGAGAGAGAATAAATTAATTTAAAAACCTCCTGCACAAAGAGAGTAATGGAAAAAATACATCACAAGTAGTTACCCCTTTTGTGCTAAAAACAAGCGGCTTGGAGGACACTGCATGGGCTGACTGTGTTACTCTTATTATCTCCTCTGGCTTTAAATTCTTAGGGGGGAGAAAAAGAGAACAAGAAAAAAAAAGAACCTTTCATTGTGTGAACAAACATTTCTTGGGCATTGCCAAGCATCAGGCAATACTTTCTGTGGCTTTTTCTACTTTAAAAATTGCCTTCAGTCACGCAAAAGAAATTTCTAGATGCCTCATGGCTGATTCCAGCAACGGTTCCAGAAAGGCCATTTCTTCTAAGGTTTTGGCCCAAACTGTTATGGTTCCATTTAGACCTGTAGCTGGGAATATGACTTGGCGTCCCTCCCCCTGCCCCCTGCCCCACCCTGGGCTTTAGCCAACATCCATTTGCGAAGAGCGGGCCTTGGGTGACCAGGGCTGGTGAGAGTTTCCAGCCGGCTTTTCCCGGAGAGCGATGCAGTGTGGTGAGCGGAGGCTGGGATGGAAGGCCCTGGGGGTCCCCACCTGTGTGGCGACCCCTGGGGAAGCAGGAAAGGCAGAGGAAGAAGAGGCCGAGCTTTCACAGGATCGATGGCAGCCTTGGCCGACCCAGGGCATGCCCTGAGAAGCGGTTGACCTTGGAGGAG